ACTCTGCCTGAAGTTGACACATGTGACGGTACCTGAGAAGCAGACGGCGCTGGGAGAGCAGCAGACGTTTGGTGAACCTGAAACACAAACGTCTGCTGGAACATGGACTGCATCATCTGCAAACGGAGCCCAGAGGAGCTTTTGAGGCGCCTACAGGAAAGGCGGAGGTCTGGATCCTGGAGGCACCATTTCCAGCAGCTCAAGAGTGCCGGCGTTAGCGCTGATGCCAACAGCATGTTTACGAAAAGCATGTTTACGTACATAGTATGTATTTTACACTCAGGGAATAACAAATGGCCAGTCTTATTCAACTGCATCGTGCTATTGATAACTCAATGGGTCTGATTAAAGTTGCTCTCTCATGAAATGATATATTACCCACAGTGGACCAATATAAGTACTGACCCAGGTAATAATAAGTTATTAATAGAAAAAGAATATCATGCTATATCTGATGGATATCATAGTGTATACACACTCAATGTAGAAATTCTTAAACCTGAAGGAGATAGTATCACACAAAATGAGTCAAATGGAACACTGGCTTTAAACAGTGGAAAACATTCTACAAAACTTTATAGTGACTTTGCAAATACACCTGGATTTTACAAGAAAAAGAAAGTGGAAACGCAACTAAATAGTGTGTCGAGATAAATGACCCAATATACAAGAAGTTCCCTATCAAGAGCTAATATTCAATGCGAAAGTCCTTCAACTCTGCTAAGGGCTATTTCAGTCAAAGATGAAACATACAATAGCGGTAGAACAGAATCTTTCACATCAACCTGTATATAGAATATTCGTGTGTATCACTTCATATTATAAATAATTTTTGATTCTGCGGTCCTAGAACGCATCACCGTAGACAATGTAATACAATTGCACTTTCTGATCTTGGAGAAATAGAAGGCTTTTATGAACCCGGTATCGAGGGAAATTCATATGCTTTACACTTACAAGATGGCACATGCACATGGAAAGAAGTTATATCTACTGCACCTACTGTTGCGGCAGTTAATCTAGGAGATATAAATGATGTTGAGGTTAGAGATCCTGGTAATAAGACATTGTACAATCTTGCCCTCACTGATAATAAAAGGATTATGCTCAAAACAAAACTGGACTGACTTATCATTGGTCCACCATATGTGATGGCAACGGGTAAGTTACATCATTTAACAAAGATAATGAAAACTGAGTGGGATCATGGTTGCGGCTTATATTCCATCAAAATGAAAGAGTTTGTTCGTTGCTCCACTACCAGAGAAACCAGGCCATATATTAATGAGCTGTCCAGCATTTAAAGATATTAGCTTAAATTTGGTTACTGAATTCAATGCTTTATTAAATAACTTGAAGACTACAACTCGAGGCTCTACACTTTCTCTTGAAATCTTACTTGGGGATGCACCCGAAAATGTTCTCCATGTATTTCAGGGTCTAGGACTTATGGGACAAAAAACATGAGCATCAACATTGTAGCATTTTTATACAATCAGGAACAGTTATCTTTACATGCCTTGAAGGGGTCCAGGTTGTAACTGGGAGCATTTCACTCACAAAGATTTTTATGCCCTGTAATAAACATCTAATAAGTTTGATGTATTGTCTTAAGACATTGCCAATGGAACATTTAAAGACTCTTGAAACATAATATTATATGTTATGGATTATTACCCTGCACCCGATGAAGTATCTGGAAAGAAGATGCGGCTGATGGATTTCGATGACACGAAATACACCGGTATGTGAAATCAAACCTTAACGAGAGAAGGACCGTGATTCTTGAAATGGATTATACAAAAAGTATCGCAGAGCTGTGAATGCTCATGAAGGGGCTGACACTGCACTTACAGCAGTAACCATGGGGCTTGGTGCAGCTGGTGTTGTTTCATTATCAACTATAATCGCTGCTCCTATCGTACTAGGCATGGAAGTAGCAGCTGACTAAAAGGACTGACAGGAATGGCCCTAAAATCTATCCCTTGCCAGATGCAAAAGAAAGCATTGAAACATGATAGTATTTGTATGCTGGCAGAAGCAAAGTTAAATGACATTGAGGATTATATCTTAACAGCACTAGCACAAACGTTTAAGTTAAAACATTCAAATAAAAAATGAAAAAAAGCTATATTTTTTCAGCAAATCAAAATATTGAAATCAAACTTTGCACTGTACCTCTCCCATAGCTGTAAAAAGTGTTCACCAAGCTTGAAAAAAATAATCTATTTGGTAGTTTTCAAGTTACAGGTCGCACAAAAGTAATGAAAATAATTCCTTGGTATTACTACTGACTTTATCATCAGATACAACTGGATTAAGAAAAGGCTGCTAAACAACAGATTACATGTTGAGAAAAACTATTCAGGAGATTCAGTGAATTAATTTTTTTTTGATAACTCATGGTATAGATGGTAAATGTTATACAATAATTCATAATATGTACACCAACATAAAATACTGTTTATCAACTAGAAAGGTGTTTGCATTACATGCAAAAACAGAAGCAGCTCCAACATCACTTTCTCCTGAATATCTCAAAGCTTTTTCTTCTGAAACATGTATCAGGAACTGTTTTCACTTTACCACACCAGGTGACAGTCAACCTCACACATGCACCATCAAGTACAACTTTTACACAGAAAAGCCTATGTCTCTACCTACAATGAGTAGGATATTTCCAGTTTAGTCACAGTACTCTGGTTTGGGAAATCACATGGCCAATGCAGTAAAACTTTGAAACAGAAAGTCTCATGGCTCTAGCTATTTTAATAACAATGCTACAAGCACTTTTGGTTAAGTAACATCATTTCCCATTTGGGAAAACACATTGGAAAACATGTAGTACAGTTTTAAAATAGAAAATCCCATGCCTCTAGCTACATCAACAAGAAAGTCATAAGCAACCATGAACCTCTTAGAAATCATGATATACAGTTCGTCAATTCCAGTCATAAATGCTCAAGATATTGTGTAAACACGAGCTGTTTACGACATCTACTTCCCACCAAGTTACCCGGACCTTCACCATCATCCATTAACATGCAAGAACAGTACCTGTTGCAAACTATGGTTGTGTTAGAAATAAGACGTCTTCTGACACTATCTACAGGTCATTTCACGAGTGACCTTGACATATGACACAATCATGAAATATGTCATGCCATGTTAAAAAGTGGTGCTATGTCTACAAAGGTCAAGACCACAAGATGAAAAAAAAAAAATCACACCAAAGTTTATAGTAACATATTTTTACTTGTTGAGAAAGTGTATCATTAAACTTTGGATGTACCTCTTCGATGGTGTCCCACTTTGATATAATTTTAGTCAAATATGCCAAAGGTCAAAGTTAGTTTTTTGTAAAATATGGTTACATCATTGATAGTAACGGAGTTATGGTCACCTCTACAGGTACAAACATTTATCTGCAAGTATCATTACAAATTCTACTACAGTGTTTCCTCATTATTGCGCCCTTCAACATAGCGCTAACTCGGTTATAGCGTGCGGTAAAGCATGGCGCCCAAAATTTACTAACATTTTCCAATGACAATGTTTTCCCCCATCTCAAAAAACACTATCAGCTGATCACTGCGATCACGTAACACCAGAAATACCAGTCAACAAATCGGAACTGAAGTACGCAATTTAATCCTATTATTATAATATCTGGTAATAAAAATAAAAGGTCCTTGTTTATCTTGACTAATGTTTGCAATACATTTTTTAAATTATATTCAAAATTTCTTCCGATAATCATAATAATGTTTACAATAATTTCAAGGAATTCATATGGGATGTGATCGGTAGATTGCACAACTCACTGTTATCAACAGCAACCACGGTCAGATTACCATTATTGACGCCTTGAAATGAACTTTAGTTGCCAGAGAATGGATACACATATCATAAATGCTGTATCATGACTTGCTGAAAGTCATATTTCAGGCAGTTTGACTATTAAATGTTGCGCGGGAAGTCCCTATGGTGACTGGTCAAAATCGTTCCATACGTCAAAAAATATCCTGCATACAATCTGTACCAAAGTGCTACGCTTGTGTTTTTTATAATTTTAAGTATATATGGTTGAACCTGCAACTAAAATAACACGATATTGGAATATATTATTCCTGATAAAAAAATAATTTCATATCAAATTTCTTTAAAGTGGTATCACTGGGTAGGTTTTGACTGAATCACCGGCAGATATGGAGGAAACGTGTGCACAGCTGATTGCTATTTCTGGCTTTGTTTACGAGAAAATACACACAGTAATCTTAATCTCTGCATATAAAACAATGCCTTGGAGAGCAAGAAATACATTTTAAATGGTATATCATTATGTCTGGTGATGTTTGATACAGATCTACCTGCTTATTCACCTGAAGAGATACGATGTGTTTGGTTTTTTTAAAGCGCATATTATACTCGATAAATCTTTTTTTACACAATGAATCATAAATAACTTCTATTCTAGTGTTTTTTGAAACTCAGAAACGTGCAACGTAGATCGTGTTAGGTAGGCAGAGCATGTATACTGGTTTGTTGGTCATCTACAACCTACAACTTGACTTTCGTTAAACCGCTAATCATCTATAATGCTCATCAATTATTTGGACCCCAAAGGTAGCGTTGTAGCGAGGGATCACTGTACATCTAATCTGACAAAGTAATGACTATAGCGATCATGTACACTAATTTTGGTCAAATTCTAATTCTAAATACTGTAGTAACTGTGTACACAATTCCCTTGTGACGACTTGCTCATACACAGTGACTTTGACTTCAAGTGTCATCTGATTCCAAAGAGAGATATTGGAGGTAGATCAGGTATCAAACATCTGACCTATTTGAGAAAAACAATTGTAGAATCAGTGGTTAAGTTCCTATTTGAGAAAATGGGCTGCTTAATAGAATCAGTAAAACCAAGATAATCTAAAAGTGTACAACAATAAAACTACCACTGTTAATAATCTCCATGAAGTAAAGAGGAACTCTACCTGATAGTCTAGTGCATCCAACCCCTTGAAGATAAACTCAAACAATGTTTTCAAGTTTTCTGGGCTTGGAGCTGTCACAAAAATGTTTGAATATCCAAATGCCACTGCTGATGCCATGGCCAAACCAAGGGCTGCTGACTTGCCCCGTCCCCTAGCAGCTGTCAACACAACAGTACTACGCAAAGTCTTTTCGGAAATGGCATCCACAAACTTCAACACAGCCTTGGCCTGAAACAATTTAACCAAAGATTATTTTCTCCCAGAAATCTGTGCAAGGAAATAATGTTTGTCGGTGATATAATTCCATTCAAAACCAATCCAATGACATGTCCCAACAAATTACCTGGCTTAGTATCTTGTCCCTACACAGAACCTGGTTTAGTGTCTTGTCCCCCCACATTACCTGGTTTTAGTATCTTGTCCCCACACAGAAACTGAATCAGTGTCGTGTCCCTACACAGTGCCTGCTTCACTGTCTTGTCCCCACACAGTGCCTGGTTTTAGTGTCTTGTCCTCACACAGTACCTGGTTTAGTGTCTTGTCCCCACACAGTGCCTGGTTTTAGTGTCTTGTCCTCACACAGTACATGGTCCAGTGTCTTGTCCACAAACAGTGCCTTGTTTGGTTTCTTGTCCCGACACAGTTCCTGGTTCAGTGTCTAGTCGCCACACGGTGCCTGGTTCAGTGTCTTGTCCCCACACAGTGCCTGGTTTTAGTGTCTTGTCCCTACACCGTACCTGGTTCTAGTATCTTGTTTCCACACAGAACCTGGTTTAGTGTCTTGTCGCCAAACGGTGCCTGGTTCAGTGTCTTGTCCCCACATAGTACATGGTTTAGTGTCTTGTCCCCACACAGTACATGGTTTAGTGTCGTATCCCCAGCACAGTACATGGTTTGGTGGCTTGTCCCCAGCACAGAACCTGCCTTAGTGTCTTGTCCCCAGCACAGTACATGGTTCAGTCTCTTGTCCCCACACAGTGCATGGTTCATTGTGTTGTCCCCACACAGTACCTGGTTTAGTGTCTTGTCTCCACACAGTACCTGGTTTAGTGTCTTGTCTCCACACAGTACCTGCTTTAGTGTCATGTCCCCACACAGTGCCTGGTTTACTGTCTTGTCCCCATACAGTGCCTGGTTTTAGTGTCTTGTCCCTAGACAGTACATGGTTCAATGTCTTGTCCACAAACAGTGCCTGATTTGGTGTCTTGTCCCCACACAGTGCCTTGTTCATTGTCTTGTCCCCACAGAGTACCTGGTTTAGTGTCTTGTCCCCAACACAGTTCATGGTTCAGTCTCCTGTCCCAACACATTGCCTGGTTCATTGTCTTGTCCCAACACAGTACCTGGTTTAGTGTCTTGTCCCCATACAGTGCCTGGTTTTAGTGTCTTGTCCCTAGACAGTACATGGTTCAATGTCTTGTCCACAAACAGTGCCTGATTTGGTGTCTTGTCCCCACACAGTACCTGGTTCAGTGTGTTGTCCCCAGCACAGTACATGGTTCAGTCTCCTGTCCCAACACATTGCCTGGTTCATTGTCTTGTCCCCACACAGTACCTGGTTTAGTGTCCCCACACAGTACCTGGTTAAGTGTCTTGTCCACAAACAGTGCCTGATTTGGTGTCTTGTCCCCACACAGTACCTGGTTTAGTGTCTTGTCCCCACACAGTACCTGGTTTAGTGTCTTGTCCACAAACAGTACCTGGTTCAGTCTCCTGTCCCCACACATTGCCTGTTTCATTGTCTTGTCCCCACACAGTACCTTGTTTAGTGTCCCCACACAGTACCTGGTTAAGTGTCTTGTCCCCACACTGTACCTGGTTTAGTGTCTTGTCCCCACACAGTGCCTGGTTTTAGTGTCTTGTCCCTAGACAGTACATGGTTCAATGTCTTGTCCACAAACAGTGCCTGATTTGGTGTCTTGTCCCCACACAGTATCTGGTTTAGTGTCTTGTCCCCAGCACAGTACATGGTTAAGTGTCTTGTCCACAAACAGTGCCTGATTTGGTGTCTTGTCCCCACACAGTACCTGGTTTAGTGTCTTGTCCCCAGCACAGTACATGGTTCAGTCTCCTGTCCCCACACATTGCCTGTTTCATTGTCTTGTCCCCACACAGTACCTTGTTTAGTGTCCCCACACAGTACCTGGTTAAGTGTCTTGTCCCCACACTGTACCTGGTTTAGTGTCTTGTCCCCACACAGTGCCTGGTTTTAGTGTCTTGTCCCTAGACAGTACATGGTTCAATGTCTTGTCCACAAACAGTGCCTGATTTGGTGTCTTGTCCCCACACAGTATCTGGTTTAGTGTCTTGTCCCCAGCACAGTACATGGTTAAGTGTCTTGTCCACAAACAGTGCCTGATTTGGTGTCTTGTCCCCACACAGTATCTGGTTTAGTGTCTTGTCCCCACACAGTACCTGGTTTAGTGTCTTGTCCCCAGCACAGTACATGGTTAAGTGTCTTGTCCACAAACAGTGCCTGATTTGGTGTCTTGTCCCCACACAGTACCTGGTTCAGTGTGTTGTCCCCAGCACAGTACATGGTTCAGTCTCTTGTCCCAACACATTGCCTGGTTCATTGTCTTGTCCCCACACAGTACCTGGTTTAGTGTCTTGTCCCCACACAGTGCCTGGTTTTAGTGTCTTGTCCCTAGACAGTACATGGTTCAATGTCTTGTCCACAAACAGTGCCTGATTTGGTGTCTTGTCCCCACACAGTACCTGGTTCAGTGTGTTGTCCCCACACAGTGCCTGGTTTTGTGTCTTGTCCCCACACAGTACCTGGTTTTGTGTCTTGTCCCACACAGTACCTGGTTCAGTGTCTTGTCCCCCCCAGTACCTGGTTCAGTGTCTTGTCCCCACACAGTACCTGGTTTAGTGTCTTGTCCCCACATAGTACCTGGTTCAGTGTCATGTCCCCACACAGTACCTGGTTCAGTGTCATGTCCCCACACAGTACCTGTCTTGTCCCCACAGTACCTGGTTCAGTGTCTTGTCCCATCAGTACCTGGTTCAGTGTCTTGTCCCCACATAGTACCTGGTTCAGTGTCATGTCCCCACACAGTACCTGTCTTGTCCCCACACAGTACCTGGTTCAGTGTCTTGTCCCCACACAGTACCTGGTTCAGTGTCTTGTCCCCACATAGTACCTGGTTCAGTGTCATGTCCCCACACAGTACCTGGTTCAGTGTCATGTCCCCACACAGTACCTGGTTCAGTGTCATGTCCCCACACGGTACCTGGTTTAGTGTCTTGACTCCACACAGTACCTGGTTTAGTGTCTTGTCTCCACACAGTACCTGGTTTAGTGTCTTGTCTCCACACAGTGCCTGGTTTAGTGTCTTGTCTCCACACAGTGCCTGGTTTAGTGTCTTGTCCCCACACAGTACCTGGTTTTGTGTCTTGTCCCCACACAGTACCTGGTTCAGCGTCTTGTCCCCACACAGTACCTGGTTGGGTGTCTTGTCTCCACACAGTGCCTGGTTTAGTATCTTGTCCCCATACAGTACCTGGTTTTGTGTCTTGTCCCCACACAGTACCTGGTTTGGTGTCTTGTCCCCACACAGTACATGGTTTTGTGTCTTGTCCCCACACAGTACCTGGTTCAGTGTGTTGTCCCCACACAGTGCCTGGTTTTGTGTCTTGTCCCCACACAGTACCTGGTTCAGTGTCTTGTCCCCACACAGTGCCTGGTTTTGTGTCTTGTCCCCACACAGTGCCTGGTTTTGTGTCTTGTCCCCACACAGTACCTGGTTTTGTGTCTTGTCCCCACAGTACCTGGTTCAGTGTCTTGTCCCCCCAGTACCTGGTTCAGTGTCTTGTCCCCACACAGTACCTGGTTCAGTGTCTTGTCCCCACATAGTACCTGGTTCAGTGTCATGTCCCCACACAGTACCTGGTTCAGTGTCATGTCCCCACACAGTACCTGTCTTGTCCCCACAGTACCTGGTTCAGTGTCTTGTCCCCACAGTACCTGGTTCAGATCTTGTCCCCACACAGTACCTGGTTCAGTGTCTTGTCCCCACACAGTACCTGGTTCAGTGTCTTGTCCCCACACAGTACCTGGTCTAGTGTTTGACAGCAATCTGCAACACATCCAACTGGCTGAGTATCCTGCAGTGACCCTTTCAGTTCTTGAAGCTCCAATTCTTTGGGTGTCATGGAATCTTCCTAGAATGTGATCAAATGAATACAGGAGGCATAATTAACAATCTATTAAATTAGCTTCAAATTACATTATTGAATACAATGAATATTATCAAATTCAAAGACTATTATTGATTATGGACTTTGAGAAAACCTTCAACACTGCCGATTGTTCCTTTTTTCAAGTAGTATACCATTTTTTTGGTTTTGGCAATTCAACTAAAATTTGGATCAGCACTCTCTACACTTGTATACAGTCATGCGTACTGGGAAATGGTTTTGGTACATCATTTTTTATAAATATCTAGGGGATGTTGCCTTGGAGATTGCTTGTCTCCATACATATTTATTCTTTGGGCAGAAATACTGGCAATATTGATACTAAATGAACCACACACTCAGGTAATAAATATAGGAAATATGGAGTATTATTAATACAGTTATCCCTCGCTACAACGCTAATAATTGATGACCAGTATACAAAACAGTATACATGCTCTGCCTACCTAACACAATCTACGTTGCACAATTCAGAGTTTCAAAAAACATAAGAATAGAAGTTATTTATGATTCATAGTGTAAAAAAAGATTTATCAAGTATAATATGCGCTTTAAAAAAACAAAACACATCGTATCCCTCCAGGTGAATAAGCAGGTAGATATATAACAAACTTGCTCAATAAAAGTATGAAAGTTGATATAAAACATCACTAGACATGATGATTTACCATTTAAAATGTATTTCCTGCTCTCAATGACATTGTTTTATATGCAGAGATTAAGATTACTGTGTGTATTTTCTTGTAAACTAAGCCAGAAATAGCAATCAGCTGTGCACACATTTCCTCCCAATCTACCGGTGATTCAGTTAAAACGTACCCAGTGATATCACTTTAAAGAAATTTGATGCAATGGTCGGAAGAAATTGTATATAAATTACTATTTTATCAGGAATAATATATTCCAATATCGTGTTATTTTAGTTGCAGGTTCCACCATATATACTTAAAATTATAAAAAACACAAGTGTAGCACTTTGGTACAGATTGTATGCAGGATATTTTTTGACGTATGGAACGATTTTGACCAGTCACCATAGGGACTTCCCGCGCAACATGTATTTCGAAAAACATTATGTTGACATTTAATTGTCAAACTGCCTGAAATGTGACTTTTAGCGGGTCATGGTACGGCATTTATGATATGTGTATCCATTCTCTTGCAACTAAAGTTTGTTTAAGGCGTCAATAATGGTAATCTGACCATGGTTGCTGTTAATAACGGTGAGTTGTGCGATCTACCGATCGCTTCGCATACGATTTCACCGAAATTATATTGTAAAAATTATTGAATGAAATTTTGAATATAATTTTTTTAAATATATTGCAAACATTAGTCCAGATAAACAATGAATTATTTTTTTATATTACCAGATATTATAATAATAGGATTAAATTGCGTACTTCAGTTCCGATTTGTTGACTGGTATTTCCGGTGTTACGTGATCGCAGTGATCAGCTGATTATGTTTTCTGAGATGGGGGAAAACATCGTGTCATTGGAAAACTTGAGTTTATTGAAAATGTTAGTACATTTTGGGAGCCATGCTTTACCGCATGCTATGACCACGTGCTACATAAAACTAAGTTTAAAGAGTGAAAGGTTAATGATAAAATGGTCAATCAGAAATATAACACCTCTGGGAAGAAATAGTGTGAAAATCTTTGATTCTACCAAAACTCAATCACTTGTTTTCAGCAATACCTGACTCACCTTACTGCTTTATAGATCAGTTTCTCAGAATAGTCGCAACTGTTTTGTGCAACAAACAACATACAAGAGACAATAGAAGATGATCAAATCCCCCCAGCACCAACAAATTCCAAAGAACAAATTATCTGACTGTTACTCTAAGTCCAACCTGATGAGAGAATTCTATCTAATCTGTCTGTCCGTATACAAGTGTAGTTATTGAGCTGTCAAAATTATACCATATGATTGGGATTTGGAACTTTGTATTTTTATGTCAGGTACACATGTACACCACTATGAACAGATTCAAAGTCAAACTTGTTGCCTTGGAAACAGGAAAAACTTCATTGTTTTTAAATTCCTAAAATGCAAAAGGCACCACTTCAGCCCATGATTAATACATGTACCCAATCTGGATGTAAATTATTGAATAGTGTTTAAGTTCTGGGCCTAGATTTTCGAAACGATCGTAGCCATAAAATTATCGTAAATTCATCGTAAGGAAATTGTAGGCTATCGTAGCGTATTTTCGGAACTATCGTAGCCCTAAGATATCTTAAGATTGTCGTAAATCTAAGATAGCCCGATACCTGTTGTAAGTTTATTTTATCTTGATAGATGGCGGCATACTTTTCCATAGATATTTTGACAAACAATTAGTCTGCTTTAAGTCCAAACACTGACATTTCATTTTGTAAAACTGTGTGATTCAAATTGACACTTCGAAAACACGAAACACCCATCAAGGATTTCATGTCAAAAATGTTCTTAATTGCGACAGCGATCCACATAATTGTGGAGTCGATAGCTTACAATATATTTCTATCCGAGTCCATGCTGAAGAAGTGTGAAACAACATACCTTTTCGATAATTTGGGAAGGATAAAAACGGAAGGTGTCGGCAGGCTACAGTAATGACCGTGACCTCATTGATAACTCAGGGGGAGCTAATCTTAGTTCAAACTCTAGTTGAGAGTGGTTTCCCTTTGTATTCGCCCGGGACACCTTCCTCAATGTTACAGTTTCCGCTGTTATATTTTCCGAATCGCATTTGTGTCAATGCTTTAGTCTTTATTTTCGCATTTTATAAAATTATATCAATCTACATATGTAAAAAAAACCTTAAAGGTTTTGCATAAGTTTTTACATCTAAAATCGTGTGGGACGGGTGGTTTTAATAATTGAATATTAACTATACAGTGTAGTATTTATTGACTTAACAAGGAAATACATGCACATGTGATCAAATACAATATCTAATATTTTTCTTGCAAAAGTAATTGTTATTTGTTTCGTTTCAAATTCAATATGTATGTTTACGTTAACTTGTAGAGTGTTCCATGAGACAACATAACTTGACAATTCCGAAATTATCTCTCTTTGCGAATTATGACTCTAGATAAATAAAAAATAATTTCATCATCTAAATACTTATAGCTTGATATTGTATTTAAGTCCTTGGTTAATTCGTGAAATATATTGGATACATAAATAACAAAACAAACTTAACAAGCTTAGATTGTCATAAAATCTTGCTTGTGGGTGCGCTGCTTCCTGAACAATTTTTGTTTTGAGTGTTTCCAGTGTTTATATTAGTGTAAACACCAACATTATTACGTGGAAACTTTCCACGTAATAATGTTGGTGTTTACACTAATATAAACTTGACTTTTGACATAAACACAAACATATACAGTATACATCACTTAACATCAGACTTGAACACGCATGTTAAATGCTGAACGCATATGCTGTTCGATCAAAGGTCTCGTCATTGTCATTTAGAATAACGTCTCTTACTTCGGTCCTTGACTTTGTACGCGATGTGTTTATATCATAAAGTTCTGCGTGGTCACGAGAGGACCATTTGAAGGGAAAATAGTGAAGTATCTTTTGGCACATTATTTCCATTCTAATAGCTAAAGTGTGGTAACACTATACTTATTGATTATAACATTTTTTGGCTTTGAAAAATGCTATTGCATGGCACACGAATGCTTTTTGTGTTCGGTTATACATGGCATCTTTTATCATAAGAACAACACGTCTACATGTAGGACATATGTAGGATTGTACAGAATTTCACTCAAATATGTGCGTGTTAAACAATGTGACCTGACAATGTGATCATGAATTCCGTGTCATTTATCTATGTTTTTGTTATTGTCAGCAGCTGGGAAATCCCCGTGACGTCATTGGGAAACACCCGCTTTTTCGATCTCTAACACAACAGAGTTCTCTGTCAGAGTTACGATAGGTATCGTAGCTCTGAACGATCTGCGACAGGTTTATGATAGTTTCAAAAATCTATCTTATCTTAACCTTAAGATATCTTATCTTTGAACTAATCAAATCTTAAAAAATTCCATAATAGTAAAAGGCATCACTTCAGCCCTTGGTGAATACATGTACCAGGTTTGGATGAAAAATCCAAACAAAACTGATATGTCTATTAGGGATTCCTAAAACTAAGCCATTAAATCTCTACATTCTTTCTGATAATGATAGCCCTGCCTTTAGGAAAAAATCCTAAACTTGTAAGGTTTGGTTTGGGGTTTGGTAGTGTTCAGGAAAACTACTTACATGGATATGTTTTTTACAGCTGTCTCTGTCTGTACATATCTGTGAATCAGTGTCTTATAATTAATGGCAATTAAGTTATGGAGACATATATATGTCAAGGCTACAGGGTAATTAACCTTTGGAATTAAAGGTTCATTCAGACAATGGTTGTCCCAAATCAGTCGCTAAGACAGTATACTGAACTGCTGCAAATGGAGTAATCTATTCTACCTTTTAACTTGTTTCGCCTACTTAAAACATCCAAGGGAAGTCAACATTACTACTCAACCTATACATAAAACAATTGTGCCCAAAATCAACACCTTGATAAATTGGAAAGTCTACTAAAAATTATGATGACAGATAAAGATAAGCTTAAAAACAACCTAATACCTTTTAGATGTGTAACTAACATGAAACTCATAAGGTTTCAATACCAAATAATGCACCTTACTTTACCAACAAAGAATAAATTGCACAAGATGGGATATGTAGACAACAACTTATGTAGCTCAGATTTCAAAGACACTATTGAACACATATTTGGTCGAGTAGAAAAGTGAACTTTCTTTGGATCGATTAAGAAAATTGGATATTAATTAAAATATAGGACAAAATTAAAATTACTGAAGACATTGTCTTAATGCTTACAATGCTACCCATTCGACACAGTACGTCACTATCCGTTTTGCTACTGTTGAACCCATTCAACAGGCGAATAGCATAGCAACACATCAAAATAAAACTTGCAATAACTATTTTCCGAGAAGGTTTTACGTATCATTTAAATTATGTATGGTATGCATAAATGCTCAGCTTTTGAAACATCAAAACTTTAAATAGCTTAAGTACCTGAAAAAATCTAAAAATAAGCAACTTTCGTTTTTATTAATCATAAAGAAATACAATTGTACTTAGTCTCATGAGGGGTGGATTTCGTTTCTGGGGCACAGCTAAAACAACATTCAATATCTTTCGACACAACTTGGCAGATATATCAAGCAGATCCTGAAGAGGTGCCTTTTGCTATTTGCAGATTTGTGGCAATTAAAACAGGACTATAATAAATAAGCAGTTACTTTTTAATTGCATTCAGCATATGTTTTCAAATGCCTTTATGAACTAACCAATATGTCAACAGGGATGTGAGCAGGTTTTCCCCCCAAAAGAGGAAAACTCTCGGGGATCTGGGGGCATGCCCCCCCCAGAAATTGTTTAGACATTTTTATTCCATTTTAAGCAATTTCGTGCAGTTTGGACAACATTCACAACAAGAAATGAAATGAGTAAATGGCAAAATGGTACTTTAAAAAAAATCGGGCAAAGCTTCTGCGCACCCGCTGGGTCTGGGAGCAATACTGCCATAAACTTCATCCCCTATCCCCAAGACACAAGGACAACTGTCATAAGCGTGCAATGTCTGACCCTTTCCCCATGTTGAAGCATATTGAAAAACATTTACTTTGTACTTACTCACCTTTTGTTGAAAAAAAACAACAACATTGCAAACATAAGACATTAATACAACATATATCCCCTTGTTGTGGGTTTTTGGACGGTGAAGAAAGATTCATAGTTTTCTCCTTAATCACATGAACAACTGTAAAACATCTCATTCACTTATAGGCTAAAAGACAACTTTATCTTAAAAACAAGCCATTTACAATTTCTGTGTGATGCCACACCCCATGTTATAGTGCAAGTATTCCTGATAGGAAACGTATGATGTTCGAAAAACCTATGATCCGACAATAGTAGAATTGTGTCATGAATAATAATAAAGGCATTTATGATGCTGAAAACTCTCATCGAAAACAGCACGATCTGCGACGGAGATTTCACATCCCTGTGTCAAAGAGACGTTCAGTCTTGCCAAAATATTGTATCTGTCAATGGTTGTGGACAACCAGAGACCTGCTGACACTTTTTCCACCAACGACAGTTGCTGAGTATCAGAGACTGTATTGTTCTCCATTAACTGCGGTTTAAGTAATTCAATAGCTTTCTTAGTAGTTGACCTGGTCCAAATTTTGTGGATAGAAGAAACATAGCAGACTGAGGATGCAACATTATGGCGGATGAAGTGAAATTTGGGATGATGAAGCCCTGGAGGTGGTCTACGGTAGAACGAGTTCACTGTTAATTTAAGAGTGTCTGCAATTTGAGGCTGCATATTGACCGGATCAATGTTGTCGAAGATGCCAGTGAATAAAGGGGGGAGGCTTGACTTTCAGTAGTGATGTCTGGCTATGCTGACGTAGTGTCAAGTTGAACGGATCCATAGTACTAAGGGGAGCGACCTGGACGAAGAAATTGTGTTCCGAGGGGGTAATATCCATTGTCCAGTGCATTGTATAAAAGTGGTAGTCATGGCATGTCGTTGGCGGGTCCCTCGTAGTAGTCTATTCCACAGGAACATGTAATGGAGTATGCTGTGGGATAGTAGATCTGGACCTCTGTTGAGGGTCGAGGTCGAGGTCGATCTGCATAACTATATCCCGTGTGGTGTATAGCAATAGTAGTCAGAAGTAGATCTGTAGTTCGGATATGGTGGGTTTCTCAATCCATGTAACGGCCAGGTGATGCATAAGGGTAGAAGCTCATGTGATGATATCGATCTCGACACTTTTTTTTCTCTGCAGGTGGAAGAAGGAGGTTGAACATGAGGTATCGATCCCTGCCAGGGTCGACAGTAATGGAGGCGTCTGGGGAGAGACTAGTCTGTAATAGAGATGACTTCTACAAGCTCAACTTCTTCATCCCGTGGGGGAGCGGGGGATGATAGGCGACTAGCAGCTGACGGACGGGGAGCTCTGAGAGTAGCAGCCAGTGTAGCGATGTCTATGGCCCCTACTGTGCGTTTACAAGACATGAGTTATATAGACGTCAGCGGTGATACAGGTGCCCTGGTACTTAACGACGACTAGGTTTGGGCAGGAAAATTTCCATTGAGAAAGCTGTCTGAAACCATGTCATCTTCTACCAAAAGTGATGTGATAGTAGATATAGGAGGCTGTTGGACGATCGCCTTGATTGACGAAGTGACAACTGGTTTCATAGTGACACACTCAGGATGGCCGTGTTCTGCATCCAGTTCACCGTTAACCGATGGATCTGTCTGACATTTACACAAATAGTGGCTGAAGGCTTCCTCTGAGAGATGTGCACATCAGGAACGGCGGTGACCAGGGTTGCAGATTCCACAGCAGTTGCAACCAAAGTTCATGTGGACCGCAAGGTGTAAAAAGTGCCAAAACTTTTACAGGCCGGGCGCTTAATACAGTCAAGTTTCGTCAATCCGACAATCGGCTTTATCAGACACTAATGATGGGAACCGATTAAATCAGTGCTATTTAGACCCGTTAATCCGAAAGTTTCGCACTCCGACACACCTAATTTGCAACGAATTACCGAAATCACTCATCAATCAGTCTCATTAATCCGACACAGTGATCAGCTTACTCCGTGGTCATCTGCCCGCGAGTACACAGCCCGTGTTTTGATGCAAGACGAATCGGCTGGTAGCTGCATATTACAACGGCTGCAGAGATAAATGTGCTTAACAATTAATGCTTTAAATAAAGAAAACAGGATAATTCACATGCTTAGGTTACCACAATCTTATTAAAATCAGATACAAGTTCTCGCTATCGACGAGGACATTCCATTACAGGTCCACCTTTCGCGAACTATGACCTACCAATGAAATGACCAACAGGAAGCCGACGTTAGCCACTTAGAAAGCAGCTTTCTTAAGCTTTGGGTACCAGTTTCAAAGTTGCGACTTCCATTCAAGACTATGCTTTTTAAAGTACTTTGAGTCGGTCATACAGTCCGTAACAGTTGTTTTGTGTTAATCTTTAGAGATTGCGTGATTAGAAAACATATTCCGCCAACAATGTATTTATTTTATATTTTTTATTACGTGTTTGAATCCTTATCGATTGTGTAGTTGTTCAATTTTCGATCACAAACGTTGATACTACTAAATTTCGTTTATCCGACATACTTGTTAATCTGACATAATCATATGCAATCATCGATGTCGGTTTAACGGGACTTGACTGTTTTCTGATCAGTCACCATGTGGTAGATGTTGATAATATACAAGAGGAAACTTATCAGAAGCAATGAAAAAAACTAAATTGTATTCTCTACTTGATAATAACTCGTTCATTTATCATGTCTCAAGAAGTCCCATCACCTAACAAACGGCTGTACCAGTACCGATTCCAAGAAATCACTACAGTAAATATGTTTGGAAGAAAAAGAGTCAGTTTTAAAGTACGCATTTTAATTATGGTAGAATGCAGAAAAACCTCTTCTGTTTCAAATTTTGAGGTGGTTCATCACGGATCAAACATCCCTAAATGTAACATTTAGCGGTGTTTAATCAACGAAGAACCATCTCCAAATTTACTTGTATCGCTGGGGTCATACAAGGCCCTGTTTAGACCTTGAACCAACAGTCTAGAACAGACCACAGAAAGACATTACAAAGGTCACAGGGGCATGTGCCCTTTAAGTAGTCTGTCAGAAGAAAGAGTTGGACAATGGATACCAAACCTTTGTTCTACTTTGGGGAGGGGTATGTCAGCAGTGGTGTACAATGGCGACTTACCATGGCCTTGGTGGGCACTGGTGTAATGTTGAGGATGTTAGAGGTGACCGGAAGGATGTTGAGTTGGTCGTCAATCACCATACAGCTTTTACATGTGGACAGGGACAACAGGAATCTATAAAGACAACAGGAATCTATAAAGACAACAGGAATCTATAAAGACAACAGGAATCTATAAAGACAAACAGTTAAAACTACTTTGCACTGCACTAAATATTTGTCAATTAGTAACAATGAAAAAGTCTCACAATCTACAAACCTTTCATTGAATCGAGCTACAACATCTTGATGAGCCTCAGTGCGGAACCGGGAGTGAACATCCTAGAAATGAAAAGAAATATAAGTAAGTAGATTTGGAACTCATTTGCAACTTTAAATTTGAGGGAGAATCCATCTCCTACAATACACTCCACTAACTAATTACTTCAACATCCAATCTTCAATACTCTGGACAGATACTGCTTGTGTCTGATGTCTGTATTTTGTCAAGGTAGACGATCTTGAAATTACAGTGAGTTCAGATATCTAAAAATGTGAAGAATGTAATCCCAAATGTTTTTGATGTTCAGTGCTGTACACACAGGAAAGAAGCAATGTCTTCCCATCTCAGGCTTGCAACTGCATGAGCCTGAGAATAGCCTTTGTCTCAAAACTAATCATAGATAAGTTGGCAGTGAAGAGGACATCTGTTGAAAATCAAAAATATTTTGTAGTGTGATAACAGCCAAACGGGGAATTTAAGTCTATGAACAAATAGAGGTAGCGTATTCGAAGGAATAATGAAACTATGTCTTCTACTTTTATTATGATAAATGGACAGACATATAATAATGTGAAAAGTGAGCTACAAGAATAACAAAAATGAAATAATGGTAGTTTCTCAAATGAAAAATGTTCAGATTTTAACAAATCTGCAAAGGATGTGCTTGCTTACCATAGTGATCGTGAACAGTTGTTTGAGAGAGGAAACAGAGCGTAGCAGGATGATCACTAGTCCTCCCCCTTCCACTGTCTCAATGGTGCGTGCCAGCAGGTTGGGGGTGAATGCTTCGAAGTCCTGTCATAGAAAATAAGCTGTTTTAAATGTTTCCACATACAGCAACCATAAGGCTGATATTGTACTAGACTTTCACACCAAAGATTGGCAACATTACAGCGTAGAGTCAAGTTGCATTTTAAGCTACATGGAGAGAGAATTTCCAAAATATGAACAACACATGAGCTATAGAATAATTATAGAATAACCCACGAGGTACGAGTGATTACGGAAAATATGTCACGAGTGAAATTAATGTTTTAAGTTCCGAGCTTTAGCGAGGAACTTAAAACATTAATTTCATGAGTGACATATTTTCCGTAATCACTCGTACCGAGTGGGTTATTCCATTTATTACCCATATTCATATTAAAGACATGTTTCAGGAAAAAAACAATCAACTGTCGCCGATCAAGAATCAGCTGTTTTGTATCAATCCGCGTGTGAAAAAACACTGTCCACTCACTCCAACCGCATTACTCAATCAACGTCTTGCTATGCGTAAAAATATAGTTCTGTTAACAAAACTTGAAAGATCACATTATTGCAGTTATATTTCTGTCTGAGTTACACAGCGTACACTATCTAGCATTGATAAAAGAAGACAATTTTCAAAAAAGGTTCAACAGGCCTTTTAATCAAGGCTTGTTTTGACAAGACCTCTCATTGACAAGACAATAGCCCTCGTGCATCACCATGGACATGAATTTCACATTGAGAAGAGAAAACACGGAAAACCTGTCAATTTTTTCATGTGTCATTCGGTAAAAATGCAAAAACCTGTATCAACAACATAGAAGTCATGTTTGATTGAGAAAAGTTACGACAAGTAGGTAAACTTTGAAAAATACGATTGCTGTCAGTGTCGGAAAGAATGACCCGACTTGACCCAGATATGAGACAGCCGAAACCAGGAATGACAAGAGAACCGGCGTTACAGTTTAATCCGGACAACAAGTTTAATGAACATCGTTTGTGATTTGAGACAAGTGTGACTGATGGGAAACATGTGCATGTGGGATTTTATGTGGGATTTTAGGAGGACTTGTCAAACGCGCTTGTGGAGTGGACACAGTCAGATGACGGGAGTTTGTTGATATTTTGATGTGATTCATAATGGTCGAATACCTGTTGATAGTATCACGGAACTGTTCTGGGTGAACAATACCTTCAAAATGACGTGCTGGTTTTCTTGGGGAATTAGTCAGCAAAGAGCCAGAGTCACAGGAGACTAATCACAATTTTATTTTCAAGAACAATTAACAATTTACAATATCTTAGAATATAACTTAGGGTGCCACAGAGAGTCGGTACACACTCTGGGCTGTGGGAGAGAGGTCTGCTTGGTAAGAGAGTCAAACCCCTTCTCTGCCTAAAACCTGCCTACAGTATGTATTTAACAAAAATTTAAACAATAAAATGGAATGTGATTGGATGATACACGATTGGTTGTGTCCTAAGCTAAATGGATGGCTAGACAGAGGGGAATACTAAATCCTGTTTATCCTGTTGGACTGGCACTAATCTTGTTGACATATTTACTGGATGCTTTGAAAGAAATTAGGGTGTCACTATAGATGAGCTTGTATGGGGGCTAATCCTTAATGCACTATAGACGAGCTTGTATGGGGGCTAATCCTTAATGAGTCTTAATTGAAGTAATGTTATTCTAATATACCCCGGTAGGTGATGACAGATATACTTAAATAAATATCCTTTGTCTGGGAGATGGGATCTTGATACCTTTGGCTAGCATTTATCTAAAAGCTTCAAATCAATTAAACTATGTAGACGTAACTCTTGTCTTATTGAATAGTATGTCTAGAAGACGCGCTCCCATTACCTTAGGCTAGCAACCATCTAAAAAGCTTTAACTGAAACTACTGATATTTTATATATGCATTTTACCTAATGATAATTATTACTTGCTAAACTATAATTATATGAAAGGATGTATAAATATTACGCCATGATAACTCATAAAAGCACTTGATGTAGATCTAATTATTATAAGATAACTTAGTATAAATGTTATCCCATGATAACTTCCCCTCCGTCTGAAAAAGTTTGGACCCCAAACGTGTAAAAATAAAAATAATTAAGGCTTAGATGGACAATGTATAAAGTTAAACTGGTAGTAGTGAATAATAATTATTATAGAGTCTCTTTGATATAAGGAAACATAATATAAAAATGCTGTCATAAGGGGTTCTGGATGTGGAGCTGGCTTGTCTTGGCACTCTGTACTGGTGGTTTTATGGGTGATGTAGGAGGCCTTGAGTTCCACATCCTGGATTGGGGTTGTAAGGTAGTAGGCTGTGTCCATGGAGGTTTTACATGGAAACAAAGAAAAGAGAGTTAGCATGTTCAAATAATATGTCATATATAAATACTTCCTCAGTTTGTCTGTAATAACTAGAAAATAAAACAAATATGATAATTATGATGTAAAAGATCAGTGCATAATTATTACTAAACGGTGTCATGACCAGGAAGAATGTATTGGCGGCAAATTACAAAGGTTTATCATGAAAAAAATAGTAATATCCTTCTACTTTTGGATACAATCATTAGACACATTATATGTGCATGTGCATATAACAAGTGCATTGATTTGTTACATTAATACGGTATACAAAAGGTGTATATCATTGTTAGTTTTCGTAACTATTTGGTTTGCCTTTTCTTTGTTTTGGTTCATTTCGGTTGTTAAGTTTGCTTTATTTGAATTTGGTTTGTTTCGCTTTGATTTTCCTTCGGTTCAATGCGATAGGGTTTGGTTTATTTTGGTTCGGTATGGTTTGGGTTCGATTCCCAGTATGGTTTGGTTCGCTTCGGTACGGTTTGGGTTCGATTCCCAGTATGGTTTGGTTCGCTTCGGTACGGTTTGGGTTCGCTTCCCAGTATGGTTTGGTTCGCTTCGGTACGGTTTGGGTTCGCTTCCCAGTATGGTTTGGTTCGCTTCGGTATGGTTCGCTTCGGTACGGTTTGGGTTCGTGTCATTTCACTTCGGTACGGTTTGGGTTCGCTTCGGTACGGTTTGGGTTCGATTCCCAGTATGGTTTGGTTTGTGTCATTTCACTTCGGTACGGTTTGGGTTCGCTTCGGTACGGTTTGGGTTCGATTCCCAGTATGGTTTGGTTTGTGTCATTTCACTTCGGTACGGTTTGGGTTCGCTTAGGTACGGTTTGGGTTCGATTCCCAGTATGGTTTGGTTTGTGTCATTTCACTTCGGTACGGTTTGGGTTCGCTTAGGTACGGTTTGGGTTCGATTCCCAGTATGGTTTGGTTTGTGTCATTTCACTTCGCTTTTGAGATTGGTTGATCAGGTCAATGCTCAAAATTTGTTGTGATACAAATAACTCAGATGATAAGGCTGATGCCATTTGTTCTCAACTGGCGACCCATAGTGAAAAGACTGGACACAAGAAAACATAACAAGATACAGCTAATAGCTGTTTCGTGATTTGCACCGTTTATTCAGGAGATTTTGTATTTTGATCAAGAATATGTGCAATTGGCAGATATCAGAATATATGGGGAGTAGATCACCGTATGGTTGAGTGGTACCACATTCTGTGTAATTCAGATATGATTCACGGTAGAAAAAGGTGTTGATATTTCCAAAGTCTTTATGTGGAAAAATACCCCTTTTGGATTTATAAATTGGTGCTTCCTCTGGATCGTATGGAGGATTATCTTCTAGACAGGACCAATTTCGGAGATCCTGCCAGCTATCATCAAGGTAGCGCTGTATGAGGTGGGGAGGAACACTTTCAAAATAGCATGTGTGGACAGTATCAGGATGTTCTTTATATGAGACCTTGACATAGCAGTCTCCTTGAATAATTTCAATGCCCAGAACTCTTTCTATTTTATGTTCTACTCTTCGTAGGTGTTTGGGAAAAAACGGATGTGGTTTGACATTTAATTCTATGCATGGTTTGGTGTTGTCTTGCTTGACATTTCCTGACATTGTATTCCCTGACAGAACATTGACTGATTTATTGTCTAGTGCTGATTCCTTTTGGTCGAAAAACTTATGATTCTTCAGTGGACGTTTTCGTCGTTTTCCTGACATACTTCTTTTGAGGTGAAATTCTCTCCGAATGGAGTCTGGAATGCTGCTGCCATACTCCCATGTGTTTCCTCTTTCTGGATCCTTCCATTTTACTCTGTAGTAGATTTTGCCATTAGCTCTCTTGGAACTAACAATTGAGTGGATGTCCTCTGGATTGAAGACCTGAGGGATGTCCTTGGTTTGATAACCTGATGTTGGACTTGGAGGTTGTACCTGGCTGTCGTCGGGTTGTTTTCTGGATTTGGGCTGGTGATGCTTACTATTCACTCCTCTTTTCCCTTTATTTACCTTTTCATTTACCTTGGTTGGAGCACTAGGACCTGGTGTGGTATGATTTTCCTTCATGGTTGCCGTGGGACTGGTAGGTTTTTCTGTTGTACTTGAAGCAGGGTTTTTCTTCTTTGTTGGGGTCTTTTGCTTCTGACTCTTGTTGCTGGAAGTACCTGCCTTTGTTTTGGAATTGACCTTCTTACCTTTCTGTTGTGGAGGTGATTGATCAGTAGCCTGGTAAGTTGAACTTGTTGATGGGGAATTGTTGCTGTCAAACTGAGTATCATTGACTGGTTCCTCGTTGTCATCCATGACTCCTGAATCTATGTCACTGGGGTTATTGAGGTATGGTTCTGGAGGATACTGTGGACGATCAGCAGGATCAAAATATGGCTTCAGACGGTTGGCATGGACCAGTGGTTTGTGTATTTTGTCGTCAGAACTTCGGCGCAGTTTGTAGGTATAATTTGGACCTGTATGGATGATATAATAGCTACCATACCACTTTTTGGTTAATTTGTTGGAAAGGCCTTTTTCAACTTTTTGACAGTAAAGCCAAACTCTTTGACCTGGGACGAATTCTGGTTCTTTAGCCTTTCTGTTATATTGTTCTGAATACACCTCCTTAGCCCGAGCAGTGTTTTCAGCTGCGATTGTTCTAGTGATATCA